TCTTGCCATGCTGCGGACGCAAGCTTCAGACGAAGAAGTGAATGATGTGTAGCTCCCGGCGTCGATTTATACTGTAGTCGCACCGGTAGTGACGTCATGGCTGTCGCCGGCCAACGAGTTGGTGTTTTTTCAATGTATGCTTCAGACACGGGTCACGACGAGGCGTTCCCCATAGCGACCCCTAGAGGACACAGTGTCTCGTTCCTTACTCAGGGAACCATGGTTACACAAGTAACCTGAGACGTTTGGTGTTAAGTGCAGTCACACACACAGATCACGCCTTAATACGTGTGTGAATGTAACCGTATTAAGGACTAAAATACAGGACTGACAACCGTATTCTGTTGCTAAGTGTCTTTACTGCCATAAAGTTGGTTTCATCATCTGAAAAGATTTGGGAAAATGTGGCATTACATTACTTGCTCACCAATGGATCCTTTGCAGTGAATGGGTGCCGTCAGAATGGGAGTTCAAACAGTTGATAAAAACTAAATAATTTACAAGTAATCTGCATGACTCAATCAATTAAAGTCTTGAGAAAAAAAAGTGACTAGCTGCATGTTCGTAAAAAAATAATAATAAATCACTCATTAAGCCATTTTAACTTTAAACTATCACTTCCGTCCAAAATACAAGTCCATCATCCATAACTCTTCCTCCAGTCAGTGTTTAAAAAATAAATAAACAAACAAGTCCTCCCCTGTTGTCTGCTCACATCAAAATCCACCAACATATGTTTAGAACGGTTTTCGCTTGTAAATGATGCTTGATGTGCATAATACTCTCCTAATTCAGACAACTTTTTCACCAGAGAAAAGCAGTATTATGGATAGAGGACTCGTATTTTAGCCGGAAGCAACACTTTGAAGTTAAAAACTTTCTAATGATGGATTTGTTTATTACAAACTCACAGCTTTACTTCACAAGATGTTAATTGATGAACTTATTGTTTGAACTTTCAATGTGATGGCACCCATTCACTGCAGAGGATCAAATTATGCTAAATTTGGTCCAAATCTGTTTCGAAGATAAAACAAACTCATCTACTTCTTTGATGGCCTGAGGGAGCGAATTTTCATTTTTGGGTGAACTATTACATTAATGCAATAGAAAAAAAAAAAGTTAAACAAAATATGATAAATAAACCATCACAGCTTATAGTTGAAGAGCGAAATGTTTATGAAGTGCCTCAAAATGTGGTTCCTAATAATAAGACACCTAATACAAGCCATAGACTGAAGCAACGGTTTAAGAGAGTTGCGGGCAACCACCCACACATATCGGAGCTTGATTACCCTCAGGTCTACCTTGACAACAGGAAAAACAATGCAAGGTGGGAGTGAAGAAGAGGGAGTGAAGTAAAGACTCCCATCACCAAGGGCAGTTGTGCCTTAATTATCTCAATTTGAACCTCTAATGGTAAGATCGCACATTCAGTGGAGGTGGTTAAGAGATGAAAAGCAGGGGTCCTCTCACAGGAAAGCCCTGAGTGCTTCTGGATGGTGTTTGTGACAACAGGCCTTGGTTGCTAAGATGCAAGAAGCACAATTGAGGGTCTGCACTCATAAGAGACATGTCAGAGTTAGATATTGAAAGGTAACACAAACTCACCCCTACGGCTGCATTATGGAGAGAAAAAAACCCTTCAAACTTCCCAGTGATTGCACATATGGTTTTGAAACTTGTAAAGTCTTCTAGTAACCACGAAACTAAATCTGCAATAAGGTTGGTTGCCTACGACCTCACAATACAATACACACTGATACATAAATATATTAGTGACTGCTTCCTTTTGAAATGAAAACATACTTCCACATCCAGGAACTCATATTTCTGTATTAAAAAGCCTTTTTAGAGGGGTCACATATTTAAAACATCAACGCATGTCAACCCAAACAGGCACTTCTTCAGCACACAAATTATTTTTTCTAAGTATAAATAAAATATTACTAAAGTTTGTTTTACAAGAAAATACTATTTCAGTCCTTCTACTTTAAAGGGGTCATATGACATTGCTAAAAACAACATTATTTGGTGTAATGCAATGTGTTTATGCAATTTAATGTTCAAAAAACACATTTTCCACATACTGTACATTATTGTTTCTCTATGCCCCACCTTTCTGAAACGCGTACATTTTTACAAAGCTCATCGTTCTGAAAAGCGAGATGTAGGGGGCATTTAAACGAATCTTAACTTTTATAAAGAATATCTCTTTGGGTTTGAGACTTTAGTCTTTGCAACTTTAGGGATATTATCTATGCACGAACAGCTTAACACTCCAAAGAGGAAGAAAAACTTGAAATTGCATCATATGACCGACCCCCTTTAAAATTTTACATTCAATTCAATGTGTTGCCATTTATTTGTAAGTGTGATATTTACTAGCAATTTCTGAGTGAAAATTGTTTCTACTCCAAATTTTTCCACTGCATCCTGATGTTTAGTTTTGTGGGGGGGGGTGAAATGTTTTCACACATATTTTAATCATTATTATTTTTATAATTATAATAATTAGTAGTAGTAATAAAAGTGACCCGAAATAGACTTAAAAAAAAAAAAGGAAGACGTGTTTAGTAGCAAAATTTCACTGGTATCAGTCTACAACTGAAACGTGATATAATGTAAATTGATCACTCAGACAACGTAAATGTGCTGCACAAGTTGAGCAAAAGTTGACAGAGCATCAAAATATCGTCTGTGTGAGCATTAGTCCCAAGAGGTGGTGCTTTCTTCAGCGTACTGCTCTGCAGAGCACGTAGTCAGCCTGGCCTGGGGGAAGGTTAATGCTTCCATAGGGGTTGACTCTCAAAGGCAAATTAATAGCAGATCTTTCAAGAAGGACATGGAGGACATCGGTTTTGAATTCCAAAACTCTGCATGTTACAGAGTGGGGCAATTGTGCCAGGCAGGACTCTGTCCACCTCCTCTATTTTCCCCCTAGGGGAAGCGTCTATGCTAGCTCAACTGGGTCCCACCTCTGGCTTTAATGAAGCACACAGGGGAAATGTAGCTGAAGATTGTGAACTGTTGATGATCTGTAAGACAATCCTGCAAAGCACCTTTGTATTCATTCACTTTAGGAAAAAGTATATGAGAGTACCTGCACATATGATTAAAGAAAGAAATCCTAAAAGTGTAATAAGATGGCTAACCTGGTACTGAACCTGGAACGGTCCTTTAAATCTCATCTAAACACTAAGAGCGACCGGATTTCACCTTAGCCGTTGCTCCAGCCCCAAAACCTCTCATAAAAAGCAGCACCACTCATCACAGCCTGATGAAAGCTAGTCATCTATGAGAGCGCTCCTAAAACATCCTTCATTCCAGGATCTTTATAAAACAATAGTGAACTATTGGAGAGTCCTGCTAGGTCCCATGTAAACAGAGAGATCTGATATGCTAAAGACAACAGCATTGTGTGGAAAGACCAACAAACACAGCAGGCTGTTCCCACACACACACCATTCAAAGAGTCTGTGTTTTTAATGAAAACATAATTATATCTGAAGACAAAGGATTTTAAAACACATTTACTATAAAATGTTTTATTAGTTGGAGGATTCAAAAGACTGTGAAATTCAACCGAGCGAAGCAGTTAAGTATAATGACAGCAGAGAGTATACATAACACATTCCGAAGCTTATGAAAAATACTGGCACTGATGAGAAATTTACAGTGTATATATTCAATGACTAATTAAAACTTAAATAATCAAAGGTTACCTTACATGTAGAGTTAGTCATTGTGACGATTATTAGAGATGTAATTATTTGTAATAAATCTATGAAGTCTTAAAAGGTTAGTTCAGAAATGTTTAATATTTATAAATGTAATCATTAAAAATAATCCAAACTCAAGATTGCACCTTATTTGCACACATACATGCAGTTAAAATCTGTAAAGCAGTTATTAGTTTCCAGTAAAAGGTACCAAGTCACCCATAAGTGAACAAAAACAGAAGCATTCACCATCTGATAAATCCATACACAGCCATTTAATAAAATAATTTAAAAGTGTGTGTTCAACTAAATCCAAGGCTTTGCTGAGGAAACAAAAGGGTGAATCATCAACTTTTGTCGCTTTCAGAACATCTAAGTGCTTTTCAAAAACAGACCTATAGTGCTGACTGAGACAAACTCTTGCTGAAAGGTTTGCGGTAACAAGGGATTTGCAGTTCTTCTAAAGGGCTACTGAAATTCTCAGAACTAAAGCAAAAACTACAGAACTGAAAAATTACTACAGCAACTAGACAGTACAGTAAACTTCACTGACAGACATGTGACCAACAGCACTTTTGCCAATGCACTTTGTAATTAAAATACCTTTCAAAATGTTAACTTTTTGGCCATTGCACATTATCTATGAACATTGCTTTTAAGCAACTAACACATTTGAGAATTTCCACTACGCACTAGCTAAACACAGGAAAGGAAAATACAAAACACGGAGAGGAGTTGGAGCGGAGTGATTACGGAACACTTTGAATAGGTCAGTGGTTCCCAATCCTAGTCCTGGAGAACCCCCAACACTGCACGGTTTTGGTGTCTCTCTTATCCGACACACACATTTGAGGTCTTGGAGTCTTCACTAATGAGCTGAGGAGTTGAATCAGGTGTGTTGGAATAGGGAGTCATCTAAAATGTGCAGTGTTGGGGGTTCTCCAGGACCAGGATTGGGAACCACCGGAATAGGTGATGGTATAAATGTCTGTCGCTCCGATCCAGACTAGCTGTCAATCCCAGCGTTGATTAAAGCCAAGTTTGATGCTTTGGCTTCTTTTGGAATTTTATCTGGCAGAGGAAAAATGTATATGAACTAAACACACTTTCTCATTATTAACTGCTGTAGTATCTCATGGAATTGTGCACATAACCAAATAGACTAATCGCAGCCACGTGACGTACTGTAGGCTACCTATGGTCAAATTACCATGTTGACAGTCTTGAGTGATAGATAGACAGATATCAAGCAATAAAGCATATATGCACTGTACTCACCTGTTTCCACAAAAAGACGTCCATTTCGTTTAACTTCCACGAGACCAGCACATGTATGGTAGACAGTATAATTCCAGTGATGACCGCTGCTCTCATCCGCACCGGCAGAAGTGTGTAAATGACATGGATGAAAAACACGGTCCACCAGATGCCTTCAGACGCGCTGCGCGGCTCCACGAGCAGCACACCGATCACCTGTACAGCCAGCACCACCAAAATGAGCACATAGCAAACTATCCACATGTGATCCTGATGGAAGCCGTTCCTGTTGCACACGACCATCAGCGTAAGAATGAGTAAGATTGCCGTGGAGAAAACCACCACGTAAGTGAGCCGATACACTCCTCCAGCGCAGTGGAACCCCAGCATCACCGCGCACACCAGCACCAGAACGGCCATGAGCATCGTCAAGCTGCTCTGGTTAAGTCGGAAGAAGTAGCGCTGGTAAAGCCTCTCTAACTTCTCCGACTGGAACTTCTTAGATTTGAAAATCTGCATCAGGCCGTTGCAGCACGCGCTCATGGAAAAGTTCACTTCTGGCATGGGCTCCTCCTCTGGTTTGGACTTGGTTCTTCTGTCCTCCAAACCCAACTCCACGGACTTGGGTCTCACTTCTCCATCACGGTACCTCGGGGAAGATCTGTTATTGTTGCGACTCTCCTCCCCGTGTTCTTGCCAGGCAGACTTGGATCTGAAACTAACCCGGCTGACGGTGGTCGTGGCTCGGCCCGGTTGTCGCTCGAAGTCATCGTCCTCTCTCCACCGACTGTTGGACCGTATGAGCGTTTTGCAGGAGGATCTGGCCGAGTATGGACATCCGTTCGCCACAGACTCAGACTCGCCCCAGGCGGATCTGTGCTCCGTCCCTCCCCTCAGTCCAGGAGCGCCAGCGCCGGGTGGGCTCACGCTGTTAGATCTGGACATGATCTCGATTACTACATGCAATATATGACTTCAGGGTGCGAATTATAGGGAGTTAGACGTCCTAATTAACTCTCCGAGGGAGGTCAAAGAAAAAGGTCGTAGGTCTTACAAGTTTTGTTTTTACTTACAAACATAATATAGGCTACGTGTTGCAATACTTTCAAATAACAAATATTTCAGTAGTCACGCAAGTTAGTCAGAGTGCGCTAAAGTATACCTTTGCTTGAGGAAACCACAGCAACAGCTGCTTAACAGTAGTTATGCATCGTTCGATAGAAACGGCTGTTATTATTTATCAAGTTACTATAGGTACATGCCACAAATATATAATAAAGACGTTAGCGTTTTGTTGTTGTGTAAGAGAAATGGGTTACGGGAAACTACCCAAAACAGATTAACGTTACTGAGATTTTTTTTCCAATATTGATTTAACGGAAATTGAATTATTCTCACACTGCATCAATATAAATATTAAACTTATCAATCATGTATATGATCCCAAGTATATAGTTTTTCCACTAAAGAGGGGATGTTTCAGTCATTACTTTGGGGAACATCGTCTATATTAAAGTCGTTTTGCCAATTTAAGACAACGTTGCAGTTAGATGGTGATTTAAAACAAAAAAGTAAACCAAAATTGTGTGTGAGAGAGTCATGTGCACCCAATTGAAAACTAGTCAAATTGGTCCATTTTGTATTTAGAAAGCAGCATTTTGTATACTGCTTTTATAAAATAGGACCAATGTAAAGTGAGTACAGCTGTTGTAGTCAGCCATAATGAGAGGAATACATTTTGCAGTTTTTTACATCATTATAAACACAGAGGACTTTAAATAATTAATTAAATATACAAAGTAGTCGTTTGAGACACATCCTCAGGTGGCTTGGGCATTAGAGGAGGTAAACAGCAGAGGGAGTAATTGTGCGCCCCATTTCAATTCATAGATGCTAATATACAAACCTCCTCTGGGTGCAAATCACGCACGAAGGGGTTTCGACCCCCTTGGACCTCCCAGAGGAAATAAAATCTAAATGTTGTGAAAGTACTAAAACCACACAACAGTGTATAAAAGCAAGTAGGCCTGTATATAGGTTTCGAACGTTTCAGCACGAATAAAAGTTAGATAAGTTAGTCAGAGCGCGTATTCTCACCTGTCGCCAAACGGAAGCGAACAAACATTAGTCGCGTTCGCCAGATGAGGTAACCATAACAACAGTACGCTGCTCGCGAGCTTTCCATTGCAATTAATTACTTAAGCATTACAAAAACTAAAGCATCACTTTATTATAGAGTTATTTATAGAATCATTTACCAGATTTCTTTCTCCAAAAATGCAAAATTCGTTTAAAAATAGTCAAGTTTCCCCCCCCCCTTAAGTCACTGTATAAGTCGCACACTGCTTAAAATCGCGTTATTTAGTCCAAATCAATGAGAACTGACCCTACGTCCATCACGCTTGATCTCCACGTTTTCATGACAGAACAAGCAGTGTCCGCAAAAGTGTGGCTTGGTTTGAGCTAGAAGTGCAGAGCACGACTCCATGGTGCGTAATGTTACGCACTGATCCACGCAAGCTGTACACCTGTGAATATGTGGTCGCAGCCCACTAGATTACATGATCACGATTGCTGTGAAAACCTGAGCTTTCCAACGCGCCTGCACGAGAAGTTGCGTCTTCCCAAGATGACCTCACAAGTGTCTTTTAGTGAAGGAGTCTTCATCCGTGCTGTGCAGATAGGGATCTCCAATGCTCTTGGTGCACTAGCTACAGCATCACCAGCGCTGGCGTCTAGATGAGAAGATGAATTGTCACGCCAGAGGAACGTCGTATCCGCTCTGCTCGAGCTGAGCTGCGTAATGACTGTGTGCCGGACGAGCTGCACGTCCTTTCCCTGCAGATTCTCAAGACCCGAAGCACGCAGAATTGATTAAGCGTTATCCTCCGTTTTGGTGCTTCTTGTCTTTGTATTGCCATTCAACCAAGTTTGATCTTTAGGCCCCGCCTTACGTGCGATCCTATTGGATAGCTGGTTGCACAAGTTGCCAATATTTTTTTTTTATTGGTCAACTTGTGTGTCAGTACACAGTGATTTGGATAAGTGGGCGGGATACCCGCACAGCTGTACGTAAGGGAGAGTGGGGGGAAATTGTTTGTTTGTTATGCTAATAAAGTAGGGGTTTTATATAAATAAATAAACATGGGAGATAATTTTTTTTTTATGTCAAATCGCATTTCAAGTATAAAAGTATATTTTTTATTAAACCAGTTAACTACATTCAAATATTCTGAATGTTAAGCCTTTTCCTGGATGTTTTATGTAGCCTAAATATGAATAATGTGCATGGGAATGTTGTTTTTCTCATGGTTATACTTTTCTTTTTTACTTTTTAAAAATGAAATCATTCAGTGATTTCATTTTTATTCCGTGATTTCACTTTTTCATCAGTGATTCAACAGACAATACCCTAACATGGGATAAGTTGTGTCAGTTGTTTATCGTCCCAGTGTGCTGACACTTTTTCCATTTCAAAATGCAGGATTCCGTCAATTGGAAATAGCTGTGTGAAGAGCATTAAACTTTTCTGTGTCAGCTCGAGAAGACAGAAGATCTTGTTGTTTGCAACAGAGTCATGCTTCCTCGGTTTAGTTTTTTTTCATAGGTCTCATGACTCCCATCCTTTAAACAGAAGAGATGCAAAAACAAACCCTACGGAAAACTGCTTTTAAACTATTTTGTCCCACTTTATTTCTGAACAAAAGAATGCTTTTCAGGCTTTAAGAAAACTCAAATATAATCGAATAACAGTTTATTTTTTTAAATCATAGAGCAAGGATTGTAAAAATTAGCTTAATTTAACAAATCAGATAGCTATCCAATTAGAGAAAACGCATGAAGTGACCAGGTGTAAAAGGGCCCTATGATTTCAAACTGTGCGTATGTATTGGACAAGCTGCTTTATTGCTAATTGTGCCCATCCGGCTTTACAAACTTTTCTAAATAACAATTAAAGCACATCAGGGTAAAAAAAATAGTGTAGGATTAGGGTGAAATTCAAAAAGCAAAAGCAAAAATTGGCTCCTAGTCTTTTAACCACTAGATGCATTTCTTAATTCTTATTCTAAGTCAAGTTAATTATTCAAAGGGAACGGTTACTTTAGTGAAATAAGCATGTATATTTAGTGAAATAATATATATGTGGATTTAGCATAAAAGGGAGATGCATTGTTTTTAAATGGCTAAAATCAAATCCCAGGAAGCAAACATTGCCCCTTAATAAAAAGGTTAATTTCTGACAATTGACCTCACAGAACGTGTTCAGTTAAAATATATTAGACATAGATCTCTACTGCCATCATGTGAAGGAAGAATGAATAGTCCCCTTTACTAAAATACTGTACAAGTCTATAAAACCTAATATGTGTTTAATTGTATATTGAAATAAAGTGAAATATATATAAGACACAATACTTTTAATTACTCTGCAGGTTAAATACTAATATGAGAAAGATAAAGCAATTAAGTTTATAGAATAAAAACAAACGGGCTTTGCTTCCCATGTTATGGTTTATTGTAAATATATATAATCGTATTACTATTCATACAAAGTTTGCTGGTCCCATGCAGAACTTGAATATCAAAAGCTTGACAATGTTGGCATTTTTATTTGAGTTAAGGGTCATGCTTCTATTAACCAAGGTTTAGCCACACCACTTTTACATGCAGTGTTATTCAAAGTTGCACTCCATTCATCCCATGCCAATCTTTTCCTGAATAGGCTTGATAAGGGAAACAGGCTTACCACTTAGTTTGCAAAGACTCTTATCTGTGCAATAGTGTGGCTCACACTTCAATACGAGAGAGATTCATTTGCATTGGGAGGACTGAAGTTGACTGTTCACAATTAGGCAGACGGGCAATGAAGCGTTAAGTTAGTCTTGACTCCCAGCTTTCCCTCCACATTATTGGATTTGACTCATTGGCAAAGCATGACTGGAGGCACTCAAATCCAATTGGCCCCCGTTAGCCGAGGCTTGTGCTCTCTTCTGCTCGGCGTGCGAGTCTCTCTTAGCCAAACACTTCCACATCGCCAGCCATAAAAGCTCCAAAAGTGTCAGCTGTGTCTCTTTCTACGACAGAAATGCACATCTAGTACATTAGTAGTATTGACTACGAGGTCCGACCCAGCAACTCAGCCAATTTCTTTGGGTGTTACACCTCTTTTTTTTCAGCAAACGGCCACAAACCAACAATATATACCCAATACTGAACAAAACAACCGATTAACATTGATCCTTTAAGAAACACAACACAAAACAAAAAGAAAATACTAACCGTAATCATGATGGGAATCAGTAGACACACAAGTAGTGTGAAAGTCAAAAAGTTATGAATTATACACAAATATAAAGAAAAGAAATGAGCTGAGTGAGAAACAGAGATTTAAGTCAATTAGATTCAAATGTCTGAAATACAATGTACAAAACACACCACACAGGAAAACTATGAGACTTTTTTTCTGGTTAAAGCCACCAGATGCAGCTAACTGTATTTTTGCCCTTTATCTGAATGATATTTGCTACAATATTTGGTCTGTAATTCTACATTTAGAATGAAATATTAAAATGTTGTCACACAGTAGCTGATGCATTAGTATGCTACAGACATTCCTCTCCCTCTAAACTGAGGAAGAGCCATTTGTGTTGAAACAGGATCCCTAAAATCACCAACTGCAACAGTTCTTGACCAAAATAGTATCATTAACAATCATTCTGCATATCTGGCCTGTCTAACTGACAAGAACGCCTTGTCTTCTTTTTTTTAAATAAAAAATCTATAGTGTGGCTTTTAAAGGTTATCCGCTTGTTTCCGTTTTCGCTGCGATCAGTCTGCTGTGTGCGGCAATGGCAGGGCGAGTTATTCCACTTTGCTGTACTCCTCCACGTGACCCAGAACTTTCTTCCTCTGGCGTATCATGTGGAAGTAGAGCTGCGGGAATACTGAGGAACACGGACAAAGAAGGTCATTAACAGGAACAGAGCAGTTCATTGACAAGACAAGAATGAGCTTCAAGAGATTTTGAAGCTATACAAGATCAACTGAGGAATCGGATTATTTACAGATGGAATATATCAAAGCAAAGCATTTTGAGAAAACATGATGCATAATCTCTTTGTCCAGGAATTAAAACGTACAGGGGATGTAGGAGATCATGACGAGGATGAGGAAGGTGTGGTAGTCAAAGGAGAAGTTGTAGTTGTTAGGCAAGGTGATGGAGTAGAGCCCTGTTTTCTGCACGTATGGCAGCGCGGCATAAATCGTCAAAAGTTCCCCTGCCACTCCCATGGGGTACAGCACAACAAAAAATGTGTACCTGTGAAAATTTGAAGAGCAAAGTATATAAAATATACTTTTCTACCAAAAAAAATTAACTGAGAAGCTTCACCTTGCCCATTTGATGAGGTAAGGCAGGTGGTTGAGCAGGCTGAAGGTGTAGAAAGAGTAACGGATGATCTCCGTGACCGTCCAGGCCACCACAAAGAGGAGAACACTGTCTTCACTTTGGACCTAAAATGAGAGAAACTGTAAGTCACACAGGGAAGAGACAGAACTGCTTAGCAAGCAGCCAAATTTAGTCGAGAACCATGCAGTTATGCACAATTCACTGAAGCCACTCGACACACAAAGATGGACTACTGAGATGATCGTAAACGGAAGCACTTCAAAAAGCATTCAGGCCCGTCAAAGGCTCCAATTTCGCCTCTACACGCATACAGGCTTGAAAGGAGGTTATTTTAGCAACAGAAGCATACACAGGCACACATGTTACATGTTAGTATTACTTCCCAGTTTTGGTTCAGGCAGGTTTCTCGCAGGAATAACTTACAGAACTATACACTTCAGCTCAGACGTCTTTCTCTGGGATAGACAATCAGAACTTGATTCTTAGTTTCAAAGAACGTAAAATAAATAACATTGTTTTCTTCACACTAAAATTCTACTAATGCAGGATTTTGGCTTTTGATGAGCACTGAAATATTAAACCAACTTGAAATCCACTAGATGGCAGTAGACAAGAGTCAATGAGACGAACTATATAGAAATATTGCTCATAGTGTTATAGGGAACATTAATGATGAAGAGAAATTTGAGCGATTGATGGCATAATGATACTGGATTTTCATATCCAGGTTTTTAACCATGAGAATTCCTGACATCATCATTATTACTAATATTCAAGTAACAAGTAAAACATCTGTGATGCTCTTAACTAAAACCAAAATAAAACTATTAAAAATAGTTTTTGCTAATTGAAATAAAGCTGAAATCAAATAAATATATAAATATTAGATCTTTTTTTTTATTATTACATGAAAACTAAGTGAAATAAAATAAAAGTTAAAGTATTAAAATGAATAAAACTTAAAAATAATATAGAAATTGAAATAATAACTAAATGTAAAAATGACTAAACACAAAATAAATCATTTAAACGTTTTAAAATTAAACTAATAAATAACACAGCTAATTTGAAATATTAATAAATACTATAATAGTCTATAAATAATTATAAAATAACACTGTAACATATGCAAGTAAAAAAAAAAAAAATTCACCCAAAAATGAAAAAAAATTGTATTCTCTCAAAAATCATTTACTCACCCTCATGTTGCACCAAACAGTTGCTGGTAACAACTACATTTTTCCATACTAGCTGATGGCTACTAGCAACTGTTTGGTTTCTTCAAAATATCTTCTTTTGTGTTAAAAAGAAAAGACAACTTGAGGGTGAGTAAATGATGACAGAATTTTCATTTTTGAGTGAACTATCTCTTTAAACATATACTTACTTCTCTAACGCTGTGCGTCACTGCCCATGTAAGGAACACTCGTGACATCACCTGGAACCCAGTCAGGACCACCGAGGAGGGAACAATTCCTTCAAAACATTTAAAATGTTGAGTAAAGAGATTAATCCTTTGTATTTTTCCAACGTGGGTTTAATCAGAATAAACTATGAGTTGCGATAATGCAAGCATAAAAATAATCTTAATCCATTACACTAAACATTATGAGAGAGAGACATAATATAGAATTTGAATCATTAGAATAAAATAATTTAAGAGAGTAAGGATGGTTATGATGTAACAGACAGTGCTGCAGGACTGGTTG